TCTGCTACAGGAAGTTTGTATCCTTTTAAGTAGAATGGCTGTGGTAATATGGAGCACCTTGTTTGTCTGACATTGGTGGGTGTTCTTCCCTCCCCTAGTCTACTCAAATCAATCACAAATGATAAGGGCCAGCCGGAAATGTGGGGCAGGTCTTAGAGGCAACAACAGACAATTACTTTCCTAGGCTTGAGAGGACTTTGGGAAGGAACATGACAGACCCAACTCTGAAATAAAACCAGAATACAATATGAACACTTTCTCTCTGTGCTGGCTTCGTACCAAATGTCACCTGTTGGCTCTGACACCAGGTTGACCCCAACTGTAAGTCCATGATATAGCAAAGAACCTACAAAGCACTTTAGTGCAACCTCTGCCTTCCTGCAGAACCTTACCAGACCCAATATGAACAAACAGATGTAATGTGCTAAAGCCTACCTGAATGGAGAACCACAAACAGCCTGCTCAGAGCTGCTATTCACCCACTACACATCAACATAGCTGCACCAGTGATGAAGATACTGAAGCACTTAGGTGCACATCTAAATACAATAGTCACCTCAGGACCCCAGAGCAGCTTTTACCATCCAGCAATTTAAGGATTTATGGGGTGAGGCAAGGAGCTCTCAAGACCCTATTCCAACACCACTACCTGTCCTCAGGGTATGATTACACAGATCTTCTACTACAGCCCTTGCCTGTTCCATACAGCAATGTTATCCTACCCTAAAACTCATGATTGCTTTTCTGCTTTTGGTGAACTAGATGCCATGAGATTCAAAGTCTTGCACAGGAACTGGGATGTAGCTCATTTTTCATTTACCTACATACCTCCTTCTTGCCACACTCAGCTGCTCAATATTTCCAAATATGAACCTTTCCCTGGTTCCTGGTCTTTGTTCCTTTTTTTTTTTTTTTTTTTTTTTTTTGTCCTCCATCAGAATCCATCAGAATCTTCTTTTTCCTCCTTTCAGTTTTTTTGTTTCTTTGTCTGTCTGTTTGTTTATTTGTTTGTTGTGAGGTAGGGTCTTATGTAGCACAGGCTGGCCTTGAACTTCTGATCCTCCTGTTTCCACCTCAGAATTCTGTAACGGTATACACCACATCCAGTTCTATATGGTCTTGAGGCTCAGACCCAGAGCTTCATAAACAGGAGGCAAGCATACTACCAACTGAGTCACATCCCCAGCCTTAAGTCATCAGAACCTATTTTTACCTTGTGAGTGCTTTGTCTGCATCAATAAATGCACCATGCTATGCTGGAAGGGGCCCAAAGAGGCATCGGATCCTGTGTGCTGCTGGAACCCAGATCATTAGGAGATACCATGTTGATCCTGGGAATCAAACCTGGGTCCTCTGCAAGAGCAGCAAGGGCTCTTAACCAATGAGCCACCTCTCCAACCCCAGTTCATCAGAATTTAACCAACTTCTCACCATATCCCCAAATGTCTCCACTTCTATATTACTTGAAAGCTGTGTCCCATTTTCAGAAATATCACAACAATACCTACTTTCTACTTTTGAAATTTTTAGTGAATGTTTTCCAGACAGGGTTTCTCTGTGTAGTTCTGGCTGTTCTGGAACTCACTTTGTAGAACAGGCTGGCCTTGAACTCAGAAATCTACCTGCCTCTGCCTTCTAAATGCTGGGGTTAAAAGTGTGTACCACCTGATTGTGGGTGGTGCCATCCCTGGACTGGTGGTCCTGAGATGTATAAGAAAGCAGGCTGGGGGCTGGAGAGATGGCTCTGTAGTTAAGAGCACTGTCTGTTCTTCAGAGAACCCGGGTCCAATTCCTAGCACCCACACAGCAGCTCACATCTGTCTATAACTCCAGTTCCAGGGCTTCTGACACTCTCATACAGACATACGTGCAAGCAAAACACCCATGAACAGGAAGGAAGGAAGGAAGGAAGGAAGGAAGGAAGGAAGGAAGGAGGAAAGCAGGCAGGAAGAGAAAGATTGAGTAAGCCAAGAGGAGCAGGACCCCTCCATGACCTTGTCATCAGCTTCTGCCTCCAGGTTCCTGCCCAGACTTCCTTCAGTGGTGGACTATGAAGTGGAAGTATAAGCCAAATACACCCTTTCATCCCCAGTTCACTCTTGGCCCTGGTGTGTCATCATAGCAACAATACACCTGAGACACCATGGCTTGATCATCATGTCTAAATGACCTAGCACAGTGCTTTGTTTGAGCTATGTATTAAATAAACATCACTGAGTGAATGGCTGTAATTATTTTGGTCAAGAACCTCTTTTTCTATTTGTTAATAATTTTAGTTGTTTTCCTTTAAAGCTATTGCAGTTGTAGTTCTATCTTTTTCTGCATATGGATCCCAAATTGCACACCATCCGTATCTTAAACTACCAGGCTATTTTGGAAGATGGAGCAGGAAGTATGCTCCCCTGTCATTACTTTGCCACCCTAGAGGTTATGACTGCCATTCTCTATACACTTCTCCAGTGTTAAACCAGTACACCCTCACACAGGGACAAGCAAATGACAGGTTCTGGGCAGTGGAGACCAGCCTCACAGATGACAGGAAGGCAGGTGGTGGACTGAGTTGGCAGAGATTACTAGAAAGTGGCAGGGTGGTCCACTGGGGGCCAAGACGGGGCTCTGGTTGCTGTGGTTAAATCCTGGGTACAGCTGGGAGGGGCAGCTGTACTTCTCTGGTGGCTACTGGTGTGCAGGGTATGGAGGAGGGAACTCCAGCAACCCCCTTCCTACTTTTCCATTTCTAATTCCCTACTCCTTCCCCAGAGGAATAGCTCTGAGCTGGGAGGGACAAAGCAAAGAGGGAATTCTGATGAAAAACATCTGGGCTTCTTAATGTCAAAAAAAAAAAGACTGGGGGACAAGTCCAGCCATCCTCCAAATCTCACCCCATGAACGAATAAGGGCAGGACTAGAACTCATGTCACAGAGGATGGACTTTAGAGCCCTCAGAATCTAAGAAGAGGACACGGTGATCCTCAGTGCTTGAGCTCTTGTTAGGAATCACAACAAGGACTAGACATGGTAGCACATGCCTTCAATTCCAGCACTGGGATGGCAGAAGATCTCTGTGAGTTCGAGGCCAGCCTAGTCTACAGAGTCAGTTCCAGGGCAACCAGGGCTACACGGGAAACAAACAGGAAGAGAGGGAGGGAGGAAGGAAAGAAGGAAGAAGTCACAAGGAGGAAGACACCCTGTATGGCCACACCCGCAGTCAGCACTGGGGAGTTTGAGGCAGGAAGACATTGAAAGCAAGCCCAGATTGCCATACAGCAAGTTGCAGAGTAGCCTAGGCTACAGAGTGACTGCCTGTCAAAAAAAAGAAAAGAAAAGAAAAAGAAAAAGAAAAGAAAGAAACCATAAGGAACACTAAGTCAATTTTGGAATAAGACTCTGGGAACATATTTTTGGAGAAGGGTCATTTTGGAAAAAAAAATAATTTCTTAAATAAAAAATTAAAAACCCACAAGTCAGATCCACCGAGGAGAAAAACACAGCAGATTCAGAAACTGGTATGAAGAAGCCAGCGAGGTCCAGAGGCAGGGTGGGAGCCCGAGTGCAAACTTACTACGGCTAGCTGAGCCTGGTCTTGGACGAGAATGCACACCTGGGGTAGAGGGGAAGTGGAGAGGAGGGGCGGCAACCACTGACGGCAGGATCACAAAGCAACTGTTTTCCTGTCTAGTTTACATAGTTTCCCACTAGCCACGCTGGCACAGGGTGTCCCAAGGAGAAGAGGAAAGCTCTCAACCACCTGCCCCTGAGTGGCCATACTGAGAAGCCCTCTACAAAAAACAAAAGCTGAGGAGGGAGACTGAGGTCAAGGGGAGGAAGGATTCTATGTCAGGATACATGCCTGTGTCTGAGTGCAGGGTTCTTCCCCGGGGTGCAGGGCTCCCTGACCTCGGAAATGCAGAGCGGCAGAAGCCATGCAGTCTCTTATCCCAACTGAGAGGGACCCTGGAGGTCATAACCCAAATCCCTCTTTTCCTCTTGATCTCTTGTGACAGCCAGTCTCCTAGCTTACAGCCAGAATTATGTCCCTTGCCACAGAGAGATTGGGCTATAAACTTAGTTACTGAGACAATACTTTCTTCAGGGGCACCACGTACAGCTAAGGATAAAACTGTTGACCAAAATATCCACCAGGAGGGCATTCTTTGAGAGTCTTAAAACAGGAAAGTGAACTCAAGGAGAAGATAAATGAAAACTTCTTTAGGCTGGTGAAAGGCACCTGACCCTTCCGGAAACTTCCTTTCTGGCTACCAGATGACATTTTACTTTGGTAAGCCAATCAAAAAAAGTATACCGAAAGTCGCTGTGGATAATCATATCCATTGAAGAAGGGAAAGGCCGTTTCCTCACGTTTTCCTAAGCAGAAATTTGAGTGCTTTGGTGAACTATAAGCATGCATCTAACCACGGCAGGATCGCCTTGGGCGGGATCTAGAGATTTTGCTAGATCTTGCAAGGGCTTCAAACGCTTGAGGAGGCAGTCTGGACGGGCAGAGAACTACGCATACAGGAGGTGGGATACTTGGAAACGGTGGCGCGTGCGATGCGGAAAGGCTAGGCAGCTCTCTCGGAGGTGCGATTAAAAAAGAACCGCGGAAAGCTCGGCTGGAGAGGAAACAGGGAGCCAACCAACCACACACCAGCAAGCTGAGGGCAAAGTTGGGGCGGTGCCGACCGCAGCGTGCGGCCGAGTTTCGCCGTAGCCCTGAAGCCCGCGCTCGCTAACCGCGTGTTTCTCTATCCGCGATGCTGGAGTCCCGCACGGTGGAAGGTGCCCCAAACCTCTGCCAGCGTTCGGGGAGCCCCCGGAGAGTCCTGATCACACTCTGCCCTGGGCAGGCCAGAACCAGCGACCCACGGCTGCCCCCACTGGCCCGGGTCCCGGGAAAGCGCGGGGCGGCGCTGGCACCTGGAGTCGGCTGGGAGAGGCGGATCCGCGCCCCGGAGCGCCCGCCCACCTCCGCCGCCTCGATGGCCCCCGGCTCTACTTACTGCGATTCAGGGGGTTCCCGCCGGCTTGGGCGGACGCCACCAGCTCCAGATACAGAGTCCAGAGTCCCACCGATACCACGGCGACCAGCAGCAGCAGCCGGAAGCGCCTCCTCAGCAGCTTGATCGGGCGCAGGGGCAGTATCAGCGGCGTGGCGCGGGTGCTCCCCATGGCTCTGCGCCCAGCCGGCCACCCAAGCACGGGCAACCCCGCACCCGCCGACCCGACCCGGCTCCGCCGTTCAGGGTGGCGCGCAAGCGGTCTCCCCCGATCGCTCTCCAGCCGGCCAGCCGCTCATGCTCCGCGCGCTGGGGTCTCTCGGGCCGCGGAGCCCGGCTCCTCCTCCCCAAGTGTCCACTCCACGCCTCTCCTCGTCGCAGGCCCGCCACCTCCCTCCCTCCCTCCCTTCTCGTTTGCTCCTGCACCCTGCCTAGGAGGCTCCTAGGTGCCCACCGGCTCCTGAGCTCTCTTGCTGCAGTTTGGATGCTTTATGCCGGCTGCGAGCATTACCTTACACCCTACCTGTCCCGCCTCCGCCTCGGCCCCGCCCCCCTCCCAGGCACAGGTGGGCCCTGCCCCCTAGAGACTGAGAGCTGGCGAGAGGTGGGGCCAGAGAGCTGGTCCCTGGCGCTTGGGGTTATGTGGGATGTGTGATGAGGGAGATGTGAGAATGAAAGAAGATTCGAGTTGAGTCGTGGACTCTGACCGAAGGAAACCCAGTCACCGCCAAGATATTTGATATCTGAGGGTGCTCCTTCGAAGCTGGTGTGGAGGTGAGACTCTTTTTTGTAGGAGTGACCTCATGACTTTGGCCCCAGGTCCTTTTTCTGCCTTCAATGATCCTAGCCCCAATGGACACTCAGCCTTGACTCTGTCTTCCAAGTCAAATTTGAATACCGTTCTTTCCTGGCCACAACTACACTCTGAAAGATATCAGGGGAGCTTTAACAAGGAGTTTCCCCCAATTTTGGGTGGAAGAGATGCTGGAGAATTAAAAAACAAAAAAAAAGAAAGACTGGAGGGGCAACTCAATAGTAGACCGGTAGCATGTAGGAGGTCCTGGGTTCCATTTCCAGAACCATAAAATAAGAAAATGAAGAGTGGGGTGGACTTGTAGAGATGGCTCATCCACAGAGTGCAAAGTGCTCTCTATAGGACCTGAGCTGGGCTCCCCTGTGGTATAATTTAAGAAAAGCGGCACAACAGGATTCAAGCAGGATTTTTTATTAGGGAAAGGGAAGCAAGGAGACTGGCCTCTGGAGACAGGAGCAACAGGAACGAGGGAGGGAGGGAAGGAAAGGGAGGGAAAGGAAGGAAGGGAGAGAGAAGAGAGGGGGAATGGGAGGAACAGACAGAGGGAGAGAAAGAGAGAAGGATGGGAGGTGGGCAGGGCCCTTTTTAAGTGGGAACCTAGCGAATGTGCACAGATGATGCTTAGTGGCTGCATCTGCCGGCGTATCCTGTCAGAACGTCAAGGACAGGCCAGTACTGATGCCTGAATACTAACAACCTGTAAGTCTAACTTTCTCTTCTAGCTTCTGCTGCAACCTCCACTCATATGTATATACCCACACAGAGACACACATGTGTACATAATTTATAATAAAATAAAATATTTTAAAAAGAGGAAAAAAATGAAAGGGAGCCCATACCACTGTTGGATATGCATTGTTTCCTTCTGAGTCCCTCTTTTTCTTCCAACCCTCATGCTTAATCCTTTATTAAAATACCTTTAATAATCTGGAGCTCTACTTCACACACACACACACACACACACACACACACACACACAGAATGAAAAGGGGGCGGGAATTACTCAGGGTTGAAAGGATCCTGCAGATACTCCACATTCCAATGCCCTGACTTTAGGCAGAGAAAGCAGTATTATCTGATTTAAATGAGATAGTTAAAAACCCAGACAGGCAGAGTGAATTGTCAGAGGTCACCCGGCAGGTGGAGGCTCAATTTTCCACTCTTGTGGAGAAAAAAATGTCAGAAAAATGTGGAGAGAGCTGAGCATGGTGACAACACCTGTGATTCCAGGGGCCAGAGGTAAATGCAAGGAGGACCTGAAATTCAAATCTTCAGCTACATAGTTGAATTTGAGGCCAGCCCAAGATACATAAAAATGCTCCCCTTGCCCCACAAAACAAAACAAAAACATTGGAAGAGGAGGAAAAGTGGAAGGCCCCAACATGTCCCAGGATATATTAAAATCTAGCACATACCATGCAAATGCTGCAGATGTCTACAGGTCTAAGTATACGTCCTCACTCTGGTTCTTCAGTAGAAGTCCCTAGGAAGTGTCCATGTGATGTTCTAAAGCCACCTATGGAAGCTTTGGATGATTGCTCATTTGTTCGGTTGCCAAACATCCAAAGCAGGAAGGCAGTTTGTTCAAGCTGGCCTGAGTCTGGAGAGAAGGAGCTGGGACCTCTATAAGGTCTCTCTTTTATTGGTAGCGGCAGCGGCACTGCTGGGTGTTAGGCTGACTCACTTGCAGCATTTTATCACGGAAATGGGTGGTAGCCTGTTCCCTACTATGACTCTCCTGAAAGTCATTGAATCATTGATTCAACCAAATGTGTGAAGCACCGGTATGTGGGAGCTGGGAGAGATGGGAAACAGTAAGCGTGTGGTCTCACTGAGTAGAAAAGATATTTCATAGAAAAGAAATCAGATACTTTAAAGGTCAGATTTCTGGCCCAAGCAGTAAGCTTCCTAGAAATTCAGAAGAATGAAACCACCTTGTATCTCTCAACCTTGTGCTCTATCTTCTCACTTTTTCTCTTTGTTTACTCGCTAAGGACTGGACTCATGTCTTGTGCACTCTGAACATACGCGACACCCCTGAGCCACATCCTAGCCCCGTGTTCTGTTCTTATAACTTCCCTGAATAAGATGGAGGTGTGGGGGGAGGAAGGAGGTTCTCAGGGGTTCCCGTCTCCTATCTTCAGTCCACTTTCCTGCTGCATGTCTCTGTGGTGCCCTGCCTGCTCTACACTCCTTGGCATGCTGGCAAGTGCTCAACCACTGATTTACACCCTAACTCCTACATTCCTTTTTTGACTTCTGGTGTTATCACAGACTTGGCATACAGGTTTCTTTCCTGATCAGCTGAACTCCAGAGCTAAGTATATGGATTGAAATACTCATACTAACCCACATACACAGGATAATATATTGAGTATATTGTTAATAATGTCTTTTGTTGGTGTGTCTACTAGATACTAATTCTTCAGATATCTTTTGGTGACTTTTTACCGTCTAACCCTGAGCCTGCCAAAACCCAGAGTCACAATGCAGAGGCTTCACTAGAAAAAAAAAATAATAATAATTTACATCCAATTACCTGTAGTACCACTTGGGAAGAGCTTTCTCTTGGTTTGGGCTTGACAATGATAGTGTCAGGGCAAGCCATGCCACAGAAAAGGTCTTTTCTGATTATAGAAGCTTTGAAAGAAAGGTCAAAGGCAGGCTTCCTAAAGTGGGCCAAGGTCAGCCTGGAGACGGGATTCTGGGGATAAGGGATACAGAAGGGAAGAGTGAGCTGTATCTCAGTGGTAGAGGATGTGTTGAGCATTCACAAACCCTTGGGTTTGAGCCCCAATGCAGGTGAGTGCACATGAACATAGGCATCCCCACCCCTAACTAATAATCTTTAAAGTAAGAGGAAGGGAAGCTGGTCGATGGTGGCATATGCTTCTTATTCCAGTACTCGGGAGGCAGAGGCAGGCAGATCTCTGTCAAGTTTGAGGCCAGCCTGATCTACAGAATGAGTTCCAGGACAGCCAGGACTGTTTCACAAAGAAACCCTGTCCTGAAAAACAAAACAAAAGAGAACAAAAAGAGAAGGTGATGGAATGCATATGATATGAAAGCAGAAGGAAAACTAGGGGGAGGAAGAATAATAGAGGGGCAATAAATGATGGGAAGAGTCACTGTGGGTGAGGGCTAAATTAGAACAAACAATGGTGTGTGTGTGTGTGTGTGTGTGTGTGTGTGTGTCATAATAAAATGCATCACTTGATATACTAAAGTCTAAAAGAAATTAATTATTTTAAAAAGGAAGGGAAGGGGCCAGGTGATAGTGGCACACACCTTTTATCCTAGTGCTTGGGAGGCAGAGGCAGGCAGATGCCTGTGAGTTTGAGGCTAGCCTGGTATACAGAATGAGTTCTGGGACAGCTTCCAAAGCTACACAGAGGAACCCTGTCTCAAAAAATCCAAAAGGAAAAAGAAAAAAGAAAAGGAAGAGAAGGATAGGGGATAATGCACACCTTTAATCCAAGCATTCAGGAGAAAGAAGTAGGTGAATCTCTGTGAGCTGGAAGCCAGCCTGGTCTACAGAGCAAGTTCCAGGACAGCTAGGGCTACACAGAGACCCCGTAAAAAAAAAAAAAAAAAAAAAAAAAAAAAAGATAAGAAGAATGCCCAATAACCTATAGGTAGGGTAGCAACAATGCCTAAGATAGAACAATTCTGTAAAAGAAATGTATCTTTTAGACTTATTTTACTTTATGCATATGAATGTCTTGTGTGCATGTATGTACAACATGTGTGTAACTCAGAGATCGGAAGAGAGCAACCTGGAGTTGCAGATACTTGTTACCCACCATGTGGATGATGGGAATTGAACCCCAGTCCCCTGGAAGAAAAAGCAAGTACTCTTAACCACAGAGCTATCTCTCCAGCCCCTACAGAGCAACTAGTATTCTACTACATAGAGATACACTAAGCAGCGGGCTAGGGATGTAGAGTGTTAACCTAGCATTCACAAGGCCCTAGGCTCAGATCCTAGTACTACATCAAACTAACCCGTAATCCCAATACTCCAGAGGTGGAAGCAGGAGAATCAGAAATTTAAGGTCATCCCAGGCTACATGGTGAATTTGAAGCCAGCCTAGGATACATAGCAAGAGCCTGTCTCAAATCCTGTATCACCCAAAATGAACAAATAAATTAAGAAAGTAGATAAGTAACTGTGCTAGAGTGTTCTTCACCTTGACAAAGCTTCATTTTTTTCTCTCTTTCTCTCTCTCAACTCATGCAAATCATTTATAGATAAGCAATTGGTTTTACTGGTTCACTTCACAAAGGTATTAAATACTAGATGTTGTGTAGGCAACTCACCGTTCAGAGATGGGGAATCAAAGGGCTTGTGACGATAGCCAGACACCATGACCTGCATCTCTGGCCTAGTCTGTATCTTACAGGAGCTCTAACCCAAAAGCTCTGACTTCAGCTTCGCGAACACATTTCTTTCTTGTTGTTCTGGGGGTGGAACCCAGAACCTTGTGAACGCTTTTACACTGAGCTGAAGCAGAAGCCCTGAGGTCCAGTGTATTTTTATTCCTGCTTTGTATATGTTACTTCCAGGAAGTGGAAGTTC